AAAACAAATGCAAAACATCCAACTGCTGTTGTTTCAAAGAAAAAGCAACATTTATTCCTACAGCTGCCAGAAATCAAACTCAGATTACTGGAGTTTTAATTATATCACAGTTAGCATCAGAGCAAAAAAATAAAAAAAATAAAAAAATACACATTGTTGTCATTCTGTTACTTATCACAACAATAAAATACTGTTGTAAGCAGGTCAATACGTTGGTGCATTTGTTCCAGCAGTAAGCCTGAAGTTGATTTTTAAGCAGATTTTCAGCATTTATTTTGCAAGCTGTATCTTAAACATCAATAATGAGGGAGCTGTGGAGTTTACACACCAATGTGGTCTGTGTTTGTATTGGTCAAAAAGTGTCCTTAACAGTTGAATTAGTCAAATCTTGTGATTGAAAAAAGAAAAAAAAAAAAAGAACGTGTGCCTTCTTTCAGCCGTCCATGTGCAGAAACAGGCAGGAGAGGGGTCGCACTGGCTTAAGCCACACGACATGAGAAGAAAACTTTGGTGACCAACGTTTGGTCACTCCAGCTATATGTCTGGTATCTTATGAAAAGGACTTCGAACAACTCTCTAATACATTTGACCTCCTACAAATCCAGTTCTTACCATGTCTATCTAAAAACTGATTGATTGGTTTTTAAAATAAACTTAAAGAATGTCAATATTTCCAAAGGTTTTAAGTGAAACTTTTCTAATTAGCTGATAACACCTAAAAGATGAGTATAATCAGGTAAATAAGAGTAAGATTGTCAATTACGTATTGATTTAGAGCAGGAAAGCTTAGGAGAACAAGACATTAAGATTATTGTTGAAAACTGTGATGTTGACATTAATTGCGATTAACCTACAATTTCAACTCAACTTTCTTATTATCCTCAAGATGTACCCAGAAGTATCCCTTTGCATTAGCATCTATGCCACCAACATCTATATCAGCAGTAGGAATAAAAAAGTTAAGTTCTTCCAACTGGCCAATAATATTAGTGATAAAGAATTAGAACAGTATGTATGGTCCTGATAGCTTAAAGATTGCATCCAGGCAGTCACTGGCACACTGAAACTGAATAGAATTGTGTTAAAGCGTTAACTATTATTAAATAGATAGATTTTCCCCTAGCCAGCTCCAATTTGAAGATAATTTCCATAACTCCATTCATTAAACCTGTCAAAACCAAGAACTCACAATATGTCTGCTCTTTAAACGTCGTAACAAACCTTAGTGTACGTTTTGAGTTAATCCAATAAAGTTCAAAGTTCTGAGGCTTAAAGGGAATTCAAAAATGTCAGAAATAAGAACAAACAGAAATGGGGGGGGGGGAATCAGAATTTAAGAAATCGGTATTGGGACGAAAAAAAAAGTCTGATCAGTGCAATAACTGAAAAAACACACTTTGAAGTTTAGTACTAAGGTAAAAAGAAACTAAAACAACACAATCGATCACCAACCAATCTTAAATTTCAAGTTGAACACATTTGACACAATGACTTAAATGATCCTTCTCCTTTACCCAACACAGAATATTAAATTCACATATAAGCTACAATTTTACTACCATCTATCATGAGTCATGTCATCTCGTGGCCGGATACATCATAAAATGTGTTTCCTTTCACTCAGAAGGTTTGTTCCCGTGTTAAATTAAGTGTCTCCTAACGACTTAAACATTCTCCCAATAAAAATGTAGTTTTACACAATGAAAGAGGTGGACAAAAACACATTTCCTAAACATTACTCACCGCTTTCAGCTGTTCCAATCGGTCCTTCATTATTAGTTGTGTAATATAACAGTTCAAATCCAAAAAGACAACACCAGTATTGCACCAAATTGGTTGGAAAACTATTCCCAGCGCCTGGATTCCTCAGCCAGCTGCAGAGCTAGCTGTGCAGCAGAAACCCAACAACCTGTGAAAGGAAATTTAAAACTCCCCAAAACTCCTGCAGGTATCTGAGGAGCGGAGTTTTTTTCTGAAAATTAGAGTCTTCCCGTCGCTTTTCCATACAATATGGCTGCTGGGTTTAAAGGCTGGGGTTTTTCTTGCTAAATCTCTTCTTCCAGGGGATTAAAACAACAGTTGTGTGGAGCCGTATAATCTGCCTCTGCGCTGCCCACAACTAATCATTCTAAAACGCACTTTTCAAGCTCACGCATGCGCAAACAAGTCCTTCTTCACTTGGATAAAGCCACGCCCTGAGCCACCTGCACTGCTGATGCATTTAGGTGCTGTGGGAATAATGGCGTTGAACAACTCCATCTGGGAAACAATAGGTTTTTGGCACTATTTGTGAACATCAGAGAACACGGAAAAAGGATCAGATTATATCTTAATAAAATTACAGCATTTAAAAGTCATGTTGTGATTTTACTCTTAGTTTTTTGTCTCAATTTAATTAATCTTAGAGAACCTTAAATTTGTTGTTGTACTCAGAACTTGTTCACTTTTTGTCACATTGTAACGAGAAATAGTGATGAGATATTTTAATTTTTTTATTTTATGTGTAATTTGTCAAGGGCAAAGATTAGAAATGGAAGATAAAATATAGGTTTCAAGATTTTTCTTTACAGGAAAAACTAAAATCTAAAAAGTGTACTTGCATTCTGCAGAATTTCTTTATCAAAACTAAAGCATCTTCAAATACACAAACTCTCAAACTTCTTAAAGTCTTTTTGAAGTCATTCTCCTACATAGTGAACCTCTGGCTCGGTTTCAAATTGTTTTCCATTTCGGATTTTTTTTGACAGTACACCTTTGTTCTTCCTACTTTTTACTGCAAAAACGGTTTTGTGGGTTGCTTGGGTAATTGTTGTCATGTTTCACTTCAGCTACAAATGTACCATGGGTCTCCTGGCTGCTTCTCTGATTAATTCTGACCTATCTGCTGTTGTCCTTGGTCTTTCATAATGCCGTTTGTTAACTAATGTTCTCTAACAAACCTCTGTGCCCATCACATAACAGCTGAAATATAAAATGCTGTTTTATATTTAAATTACAATAACATGATAAATGTTCGAAAAGTTAATTTAAAGTAGCCATTTCCAAAAGTTGAGTCACGGTTCCACCGTGGATAGCAAAACACTGTATTTATTTCAAAATAAGAAAAGCTTCAAAAAATTATAACGAAATTTATATAAGTATAATTTTTCAACAATTATGCTTGTTGGAAAACAAGTATAATTTAACTGGTTAATTTGTGATTGCTAACTAGAGAACATAATTTCATATAAAATAATGTAAGTTAATAATTTTACGTAAAATGAGGTGATTAGCTAAGCTGTCTCACTAATGAAGGAATATATTCCTCCTCAATAACATGAATTCAGAGGATAATAAAAATAAGTCAACCGCTTATTTTTGATCTGTGGGAAACTAGATCAAAGCCGTGTAACAGTCGAGATTTGTTTGGTCTTCTCTTGAACAACAGAGGAGAAATACCACAAAGATCAGCTTTCATGTCTTGAGAAAGCTTGATCTTCCAACATTTTCAGCAATATGATTGTGAACAGTGGAATTTGTTCTGCAGCTCTGCATTGCTGCAGCAATGTCTTAGCAGCTGGGGTTAAAACACTAGAGCCTCATGGGAGAATGGTGAACAACCATCATAACATACAGCAATATTCAGTCATTGCATTCTTCAGTTCAGTTGCAATAAACACTAAAGATCATTTTAATTCATAGTAATTACATTTGACAAGAATCAAATGTTTCCTTTTGCATTTGCTGTTTTGTAATTTGCATTACTAAACTTAAATCATTAACCCATTTTCTTTTTGTAAATTATTGGCCCACTCATTTTGTTTTAACTTTTCTACTCAAGTTCAATTTTTTATTAGATACCCATTTCGATAACTTCTATTAATACAGACTATTTACCATTAGTAAACCGTAAAGTATGCAACCTGATTTTCGACCTTTTTTCGTGTTACTTGAACGCACCATTCACAGTTTCCAGATAAGTATCGATGCAGTAACAATAATACACCACCGTACTGACATGCGATGCAAGTTTAATTTAAAAAGGCTTATGGTTTTAAAGTAAGATAAGAAACAAAACGGCAGCGCTTTCTTGATGCTGCACATTTATGCACATGTGACGCAGTACAATCATGTTTGTTATTAAAACAGTGATTGTGTTAGATGGACAATAAACTGGTTTAGGGTCTCATTTAGAGAAAAGAGCAAAACTGGTTACACGGTGTTCATCCGTCTAGGTGAAAGACATTACACGTCACATTGAACGTAATCAGCAAAACTGTTACGTAATTCATTATAATGGTTCAATGCGCCAAGGAAGAAAACAATGTTGCCAGTGACACCTAGTGGACAGAAAACTGAAGCGTCACTATAGTTAAAATCTAGAAACCAAACAGGCTGTTAAAAAAACAAGCATTCATTTCGGCTACAATTACATTATGAATCGTCTTTAAAGCAATACCACATCTTTTAGAGAAAAAAAATATAATATTTCTCTGTGGTTTCTGCATGCAAATTATGTATTGCATATTCAACAATGAGGTCCTTTTGTATAAATTTAAGTTTCATACACATCGAAAAACTGCTCAGCCTTGGGTTATTCCCCACCCTCAAGTAGCTCCTTTCTTTCAAAGTATGTCTTTGAAAAGCCTCTGCCCTACATGAACAACTGGGGCACCCTATTCCTTAAGAACAGTGTAGAGTGAAGGGCTGAAATGGGATTTAGCCTGTTGAACAAATTCAATATCATGCCTTTATTTGCCCATACAGAGTATTGCAACTGAAATAAATTTTACATAAATTTTCCTTTGGATATTCTAGGTCTGTGATCATATCCAAAATGACTGAGGCAAGACAATTATATTATACTGAGAATGTTTTTATTCAAAGTTTATTCCCCTTAGTGCTTCCAGTACACCGTACAACAGCATTATGTGAGCTGGATATGTGCAGCGGAGGAGGGTGCTTGACGACGAAGAGAGCAGCATGTTGCCATGCCAAACAACAACACTAGGGTGGGTGTGTCATACAGTGAAATTAGAACCACGACTTTTGCACCAAGTTTCTTTTTTTCTCTTAAGTTTTAAAACAAAAAATTCAAAAATAAAAATAAAAAAATCTGAAAAGGGATTTTACAGTAAAGGGGAAAAAACTCAAACTTCCTGTCCACAGCCGGGGGGAGAAGGGGAGGGAAAATCAGAAAACAGGTTAGAGGTCATCTTCTTCATCTGGGAGTGCTGTCTGTGATGCAACCTGGAAAACAAAAGCGAGTTTTAGCTTTCGGTTGGGAATGGTTTTGACGAGCTACAAACAAAGCGCTGCAAGATTAGATTTGCGTCATAAAAAAAAAAAAAAAACACATTTAGACTTACTTGAAGCTCTTCCTCATACTTGGCGGCAAGGGACGGGTCCATCTGGACCTCTGGGGGAGCGAGGGCTGGCATAGCCACAAACTCCAAGTTGGGATCGCCGATCAACTTCCTCGCTAACCACAGGAAGGGCTTCTCAAAGTTGTAGTTACTTTTGGCAGAAATGTCGTAGTACTATGGAGAGGGTAACCACAAAAGACAGACTTAGACCCAATGAAGATTAGATCAGTCAAGCAAACTCAGAATAAAAACGGGAAATTGTTCATTACCTGCAGGTTCTTCTTGCGGTGAAACACGATGCTCTTGGCTTTGACTTTCCTGTCTTTGATGTCTACCTTGTTGCCACACAGAACGATGGGAATGTTCTCGCACACACGGACCAGGTCACGATGCCAGTTGGGCACGTTCTTGTAGGTGACTCGGGAGGTGACGTCAAACATGATGATCGCACACTGAGCTGTTAAGGAAAAATCAAGGTAACACACTACACAAAGAAAGAGGCCAACCTAACTGCATCCAAGCCTTTTAAGATGTGGGTTAGTACCTTGAATGTAGTAACCATCTCTCAAGCCTCCGAACTTCTCCTGGCCAGCCGTGTCCCACACATTATACTTGATGGGCCCTCTGTTGGTGTGGAACATCAAGGGGTGCACTTCTACTCCCAGAGTAGCTATAAATGAAGACAAGTTGTATGAGAAACATGAAACATTTTCAGAATTTGGCATGTGTGCATATGTAAAAGCCTGTATAGATCAAACAAGTCTGGTTTAATGAAGCAACTCGATGAGCAGCTCTATTTTAGAGGGAGGAGGTTCATTTTTTCCCCACCAGGTCTTGTATATTTTCTCCAATGTAAAAGCTTTGATGGGTGATACCTGATCTGTTTTATCTAGCCTTCAAACCTTCCTATGAAGTGTTTTATAGAATATTTTCTGTCCATGTGAATCATTTTCAACTGAGTTTCATGAATTTAAAATTCATAATCCCAATTTGCTTACATTTTGAATAATTTTTAAACTTAAGGAATTTAAACCTAGCCTAGAAAATAGTCAAATTTGGTGAAATTCACTTCATAAATCTGTTTTAATATTTTAGCAGGTCATTGTTATAATACAACCTTTTGCCTTCTTTAGAACGTAACAAAGCAATCGTAATATTTGTAATCATTTGTAAGAGTAACTGTGATGTCTGTAAGGTCTAGATATTTTATTTCCAGATATGAAAAGGACACTTAAGTAACTTTATATATATTCAGTGCAGTAAAGTCTAACATTTATGTTCTAGCAGTACTGACATCACTGGGACATTTGCAAGAATATTTATAAATATACAAGACATTGCAAGACAGAAATGATCTGTACATTTTCTGACTTCATTAAATTGCCTGGTGAACTTCATATATGAATACTCACCGACATACTTCTTCTCAAACTCTCCTGTAATGTGTCTCTTCACAAAAGTTGTTTTTCCTGTGCCTCCATCTCCGACCAACACCAGCTGAAAGGAAGAGATAGTAGTTAGTCCAAACTGGCTAGTACCGGTCCACAACTGCTAACTGATGAATGCCTCAAAATCACCATTAGAATCCCTCACCTAGACATAAGACAGAATATAATTGCTATTATTGAGTCGAAAGCTTACCTTAAACACCGCCACAGGTACACACTGTCCCATAGAGTCAGCCATAGTTGCGACTTTTCTGAGTTGAAGAAAAACAGGGCGGGATGGTCAGTTTGCATCTTGTCCGTTATCCCCCAGTTGATCATGCTAGGCTAATCGTGTTAGCAGTTACCCATTTTATGTATTTTAATTACGCCTCTGAAACAATATTGAATATATCAACAACGAGGGCTTTGGGTGGTTTGTTTAATATTTGAGAAATCAAGCTGCTACATACACAACTTCTAGCATGTTCGATCCCCGCTAACGTTCCGACACGCAACAAACGCAGTGTTACGTTAACGTCAGTGCGTCTAGCCTAAAATTGTGTCAAATAATACAGCGTTCTGCATCCAAATTTAAGGCAAATATTCAAAACTTTATCTTGGATGCGTGTTTAAACATCACTGGGCTGCTAACTAGCTTAGCAGCTAGCCAACTGCTGGCGTTAGTTTAGTGCGCCATATGACGAGCGAGCGCACTTTTTCTTGTTCGAGTGGAACAATCAGCCTGAAGAAGCAGCTAATGTGTTCCACACTGCTGCTAACTTTAATCATCGTCAACAGTCCACTAGGTTGTATAAATACTACTGTCCAAATTCAGAATATACGTTTTGAAAAATAAATAGATGCAAATACATGGATGCCAACAGTTCTGAAGAACAAAGCAGTGTTACGAGAGCTAGCCATAGATGCTAACATGTTACCATAGCATGGGCATGGAAGCCATTCTTTCCTACACGCTAGCGGCTAAGTTAGCTAGCTAGTAGTTAGCACACACAAGACAAAAAAAATCGATGGCGTGATCTAGCTTTTCATATGGCAACAACCGCAACGACTAATGAATCCGATAAGCACCTGAAAGGTTTCGCCTGCTCTGGCTGACTTTCTGCGCAAATATAAAGTTGAAATTTAGGCCGAGCCGCAGTGAGGAAGGAAAGTAGAGACTCACCGGTGTCACTACGAAGAGAGGAAAGAGTAAATGGCTGCGTTCGCGGGAGATTCAGCGTGGACTATGAGTCAGTTTCCGCCCTGGTCACGTGACATGTGCAGCGGCAAATACGTATGAGAAGCGTTTATTTTGCTCAAGTAAAGTAAAAATCTGCGGTCAACGAAATTATCCTATTTAAAGTAAAAGGGTATTTCGTAAAAAAAAAAAAAAAAAGCTAATGAAGTACTGAGTATGATACAGACAGAAACATAAAGTTATGTGCAAATTTTGGTATTTCAACTGCACAATAATAATGCTGTAACAACAATAGTAATAATAATAGTTATTATTATATAAAAATCTGGCTGCATTTTATTGCCATGAAGTGGATAGAATCAAAGACATTTGGAGTGAATTAGATTGTATGTAATTACATAAAAATTTGATGTGCCTGTCATGGAAAGTGTCTTGAAATGTTTGGTGTGAATTCATACAATGTATGTAAAGAAAGCTGACCTTTATGCTTGAACTCACAAGCTGCCTTTAAAAATCAATGCATCATTTCATATCATTAATTCAAACAGTCGTGGATTAAGAACTGCTTTATTCCAGTGGACTAAAAAGCTTTAATACTTTATAATTACTGACATAAGTTTAAGTTATACAATCAAAAAATACATATCACTGTGTCACAGTAATTGCTCTATAAAGACTGCAAAATTTGACATCAAACAGTTTAAAAACACAACACTGCTAGGCCAAAAATAATCTATTAATGGGGTAAAAGTAAGAACTTTGCACTAAAAAACAAACAACAAAAATGTCACACTTCTGTTTTGCATCAAATAAATAAAACAGGGGGGCTGCTTAAACCAGAGGTATCCAAATTATTTGACACTTGGGCCAATATTGTCAACCTGTCTTTAAAAACACAAGAAACGGTGATCATTTAACAAGTAAAAACAGAAACATATATTTTTCGCAAACTAATTGCAATATGTTAATGAAATAAAATAATCTGATTCTTGTTGGGAAGGTATCTGATGTCCTAACTTTGTATTTTCTTCGCTTAGAAAAAAAGTAGTATGAAGATCACTCTTTTCCTCAAAAATGCTTTATCGACTTAATCAGATTTAATGAATAGCAGACCCCCAACCTGATTTGAGTAAGCTGGATGTTTGTGGTCCTGTACATTATGCGGCAGTGTTAATAAAAGACAAATATAGAGTTTGTTGTATTTAACTTTTCCATTTTAAAAAGATTTTAACTTGTCAGTGAAGATCTCGCCATAAACAAGTTTTGAAAGTGTCCGTCTGCATCAATTGCTTGTGTTAGTACCAGTGATGCTACTCTTGAATTGTGATCGAGGGCCACGCAAAATTATTTCAAAGGTTGCCCATGGAATCAGCATCGCACTTTCAACAGCCTTAAACCCTTAGGATAAGGAATGTCAAATTCATTATAAAAATCTGGTAAAATGCTTTTGAACTGTGACACGCTTCATAAATAAATATTTAAATAAATACAATAAACCAATTAATTAACACTTGGAAACACTCACTGCACAGTCAAGTTAAAAATAAAGAATGCAATGTGGATACTGCTCCAATCAATTGGACTAAAAAGCTGTACAAACAGCCGCAAGAAATAAAAAAAAACATTCAATAAAGTTAACAGTGGAAAACAGCTTACTTCATCTTAATAGAAAGGAGAAGGATTATAATCTGAAACAATGGCAAAAAGTCACATGGTCAAATGAGTCCTCTGATTCAGAGAGATGAAAGCATTATATTAAGAAGAGGAGTGGACAAGTTGATGAATTCATCATAAATAGTGTGAATCAGTTATAAAAGGCAAGCTGACAACCCAAATGTGTTAACTGACCTTTTTTCCATAAAAGGATTATTTCCTTCCTGGTGGCAGGTACATTCTAACGTAACAGTTTTAAGACAATTAATCATTGTTTCCACACATGGGTGGCTCTGGCAAGAAATGTCCAAAAGACTTTATCCCACAGTTCAACCGAATGTAACGTCTTAAAACTGCCACTTTGTTTGAGAATAGTTTGTTATAAGCTCACTGATAAATTAAAATTATAGTTACAGCTAAAGCTGGGTCAGCAAAATAACATGATATTTTTCACCAGGCAGTGTATAATTTGTGCGTATCTGCAGCATGGCTTACCCCCATTTCACTTTTGCATCAGTAAGGCTACATGTAGCTATTTCTTTTATTGCACATATATGTTAAAATGTTTGTTACTGATGACGCAGTTCATCTGTAAAGATAATCAGCCTGTATGTTGGCTGCTATCTCAGCCTCCCAACGGTCTCCGTTGTTGAGCAGCTTCTCTTTGTTGTACAGCAGCTCCTCATGTGTCTCTGTAGCATATTCAAAGTTTGGCCCCTGGACAAAGAATCAAATGAGAAAACTGACTTTCAGTTTTCTGAACTGAAAGTCATCAAAGTCATGAAAACCATCAAAGACGTACAATTAAAAATGATAAATACTGTTACGAAGCACACACAGCTGCATGAGTTAGTGCCACCTTTTATGTCAGGGGTTTGTTCGAGGCAAAACAGAAATACAAAAATACTCTTTTCTCACCTCAACAATGGCGTCAACAGGACAGGCTTCCTGACAGAAACCACAGTAGATACACTTGGTCATATCGATATCGTAACGTGTAGTTCTCCTGCTACCATCAGCTCGAGTCTCCGCTTCAATAGTAATGGCCTGAGGAGAAAAACAAAATGCCCAATAGTGGAATGAGCTGAAACAAATTTAGGACGACATTTTTATTTATTTATTTTTTTGCTTATAGATCTGTGATCAACACATTTTTGAAATTCAATGCATGGCTATCTTTTTGTTTACCTGAGCAGGGCAGATGGCTTCACACAGCTTACAAGCAATGCAGCGCTCCTCTCCATTGGGGTACCGGCGGAGGGCGTGCTCGCCTCGAAACCGTGGCGACAGCGGACCTTTCTCAAACGGGTAGTTGATGGTGGCAGGCTCACGGAACAGGTAGCTCATGGTCATTGCCAAACCTGCAATGAATAATCACAAAAGAGTGAATAAAGGATTGGTAATAACTTTAATTGATGCACTTTTTTAAATGCGGATTCATCTTTGATTGTTTGTGGCAGCAGAGTCAAATTAATTAAAATAATTTTTAAACTAAAACGCATTGGGTATTTTAAGCTACCAACAGACTCAGAAGCTGTGTTCATCACTGGGCAAAAAAAATTTGTAATGAGCAACAAATCAGCTTTCCCTACACAACCAGCAATTGTTTAAGTTAAATCTTGGTCTTCTCATGATATTTGACAAGAAAATACAAAATTTAGCTTCAACTCCATTGCATGAATCAGGTCATGTGCCCAGAAGTAATATCAGCTCTGACCTCTGAAAAGCTCAGTCCATAAGAGGGTTGTTGCAGCCCGGTCAGTGATGGACCTCAGGTCAGTTGGCTGCTCCTGGGCATTTACATACTCTACCAGAAGAGAAAAGAAATAAATATGTGGTTACATAATCTTTTTGCTTTCGTCATTTTTTTCCTAAATATGGCAAAAGTATTCACATCCTTAGGAACTTTCACATTCTTTCACTTTACATCCACAAATATCAATGTCTCTTAGTGAGACTTCCTAACATACTTCAACACAAAGATGATGTAAAATTAAACACGTGCTCTTTATCCAGTCTGACTTAAGCAATTTTCCAAAATCTTCACTCTGCATGTGTGAAAATATGTAAACTTTATCTTTATACTATATTTCAAAGAAAAGCCAAAAGAGCTTATATATAAATTATAATGGAGAAGAAAATACAAATATTTTTACTCTGTAGCAAAGTATTAAAAATTCAAAAGCTATAACAGGTAAGAAAAACAGAATAAAATTGCAAATTATGCACTGCTTTACCATGTGTGGTAAAACAAACAACAAACTACTTTACCATGTGTGGTAAAGTAGTGAAATCCCAGTAAAATATAGAAATTTGTAGTTGAAACATAACTACAAATTTAAATGTAAAAAGTTGAAGGTACTACTTCCGTAGTGCACTACTGTATTTAGTCCAGTACTTACTGTAGCCTTCTCTCGGTGCGCTAACGCTAAGTGTGCGCATAACACCAGAACCATGCCCAAAGGTGCCTGGAGATGCACAAACACGAGGTGAGCCAACATCATTTTAGCACACATGCATGTTATTATAATGTGGTTTAGTACCTTGCTTCGAGTAGCAGTGTAACAGACGCAGACTTAATGCAGCAGACATCTGATTAACAGCAGAGAGGCAGAAAACAAAACATACAAACAACAATCGTAATGTAAAAACCAGAAAACTGTGAAAACATGAGAGAACCTGCAGGTAAGGAGAGTGCCAGCTGAGGACAGCCCTGCTGTAATCTGGCGCCCCAAATCCCTGCTGTATGACGTATTCGCGGAACGCAGGAAAAATAGAAACCCAGATGTACGGACTAGATTTAAGGGTGTTCCGTGATTATAAACCAATTACCACCATGTAGCAAATTTATATGAACAAAAACGACAACGAAAAGGTAAAATGTATTCTTTCTTCTAGCATAAACAAAATGTAAGAAGAAAACTGCAGCTATTATTGTTGTTGCAGCGATTAAATCAGGTTTTGGAGGGGTTTTTTTTAGTTCTTTTGAAGACGGACTGAATGATGCACATAAACACATGGCCCAACATCGCTTAATTTACTATAAGGCTTTATATTTACGTTTTTCAGATAAAACGTGTTTGTAAGTCTACTCTAAAACGCTTATTTTGCTCATACGTCGTTGCTTCCCAGTTGCAGAGTTGATAATTTTAGGTGTATTTGACAACAGAAAACAAACCACATATATTCAGCATTTCTTGGTAAAAGTGTCAACTACATGTTCAGTTTATAATAATCTTTTACGGTACGTACCTTTGGAGCGAGATTTGTGATGAACTCCACCGGTCCCTGAACTGCGCAGTTTTAGAAGTGCTGCATTCAAAGCGGCTCGTTTATTCCCCTTTCTCTCTGTGTCACAATATCGTCACCCTGCTAACCTTTTGACATCTCCCCCTTAATTTGTATTACTTTTGACACCATATATTTGCAACGCAGCTATTTGGCAATGCAGTAGGAAGGGATTTTAAAAGCCTTAAAAATATATATTACCGTTTTTGTACAAATGTGTCATGCTACCAAAGTAATATTAGTTTCACTTCCATAACTATTTAAGATCTTAAAAAAGAAAAAAAGAAGAAGAAAAAAAACGTTAATAAAGGACCACAGTGTGTGTCAGAGGAAAAGTGAGTCAATGCATTGGGAACAGTAACAGACAAGGGCGGTGTGCAGATGAACAGCAGTAAATAGAGTGAGGAAGTTTATCTTCTACTTCCATTACTGGAAGACCTCCTCACTCTGCACCTCTTCTGCAAACAAATACGCAATAATGAAGGTAATCTAAAAGGTATTTACTTTTATATCACATTTCATTTCATTTGATGGTGTGTCTGGTTGAATGGCAGGAAGTCAACACTCTATTAACTTCCTGTTAAAACTCTCCCAACCCTTAGTCAAGTGCGCGGCAGAGAAAGAAATAGCAGCAGAAGAAAAAACATGTAGAGAACAGGTAGACTACTGACTACTATTGCTTGGTTCAGATGGGATTATTACTCCTCAAGATGTGCAGCCTGACTGTCATGAACTCTTCATGACTGGGGATACTTTTACAAAGTGAACCACAAGAGCCGCCGTCTTCTGTGCTGCGAAGATGTTGAAAGCATCGAGCCAACCCCACAGGCATCAGAGCGAGGAGGACAGCTCTGGGTCGGATGCCGGATCAGAGGTCAGTCTAGAACCAGAGACGGACCGGTTTGGCTTCATTCTGACCAATGGATCCACAGCTGGGTGAGTACACCTGCAGGATGCTGGAGAGCTGCAACTTTACTGTCAGCAGGGGGTTATACTGCTATAAAAACCACATGCACTGCTTAAGGAAATAAGATAGCTTTAAAAGTCAAGTTCAAATACAAAATTTAAAATCACTTAAAATACAAGCTCTGATTAATTGATATATAAATAGTATGCAAAATATCTTATTGGGTTTAATCTGCTTGAATTCACGAGGTTCGTATATTCTCCCACCATTGTAATGATTTCTCTTTTCTAATTAACTGATGCAAAAGTTCCTTGTTTTTTTGGGGTTTTTTTTTAACAAAATGTTGTAAAAGGTTTTAGACTAGCAGAATCAGCTTGAGAAAATGTGTACGAAGGGCTCCCGAAGTGACAAATAACTTTTATTTTTGTCTTCCCATGGCGAGACCAGGAAGTTATACCAGACCACATATCTGAGAACCGGTGGGTTAATGCAGCAGAGAAACATGCGTATTATACCCACTGGCACTAAAAGAGAGGGAAAAAAAAAAAAACTAAATACATGTTTTGCACAACAAAATGGCAAAGTCATAAAGGGGGCAAGAGTTAATGAAGATGAACTTTTTAAGATAATAAAGGGAAAACGCACCATCTGAAAACAGAGCACAAAAACAAATAATGCGTAATATTTGAGTAATGCTGCGATGAAAACCATTTTAGGCACTTTTATTGTATTATTACGAGAAAAGATAGAAGCTAGAGGTAGAAGATGACTTTTATAACACTTTATTCATTTAAAGAAGACAAAAAAGCTTGTCAGGTTGTTAGAACAACGTAAACAAGCTCACAAAATATTTTGCCTACAGTAATGGTTAATACTCAGTGTATATATGAGGCACTGTGAGATTTCTTTACTATTGTGACATTGCTTAAAAAAATGAAAGAAATTCACAGTTTTTATATACTGTTTATAATTTCATTAATTTGCACTTCTTTTACTTTCATAGAAACTACGAGTTTCTATGACACTGCCTGTCAGCCTCCTCTCAGGCAGCTCACTGGCAGTGTGCAGCAACAAGTGGGGCAGGGCCAGCGCTGCATTATCTTATTTATTAAACAGTTTGATGCATCTTCAGTTACTCTGACATTTGCACTGTAGATCACTGTGACATTTTCCCTAATTAGGGAAAATGCAGGTGGAGTTTAAACAGGATATTTTAAACCCTGGATAAAGTTTTATGCTGCAAGCGGCCGACGCCTGCTGCAGCATCACACATCAGAACTCACACACTTTTTCCCATAACAGCAAGTGAACACTTGACGCAGTGATGATGGCAGATGAAGCAGTATCAAATCAGAGTAGGAGAGGCTAAGCAACCTGCTACCTGTCGTCTTCACATTTTCCCCATTGATAACATCCTGACCTGTTGCCATGGAGACGTCAAACTGCTAACGTGTGGTTTTCCTGTTTCCTGCCTTGTTTTTCAGAGCTCTGCGTCGCTGTGCAGTAATAGCACAGAGCAGCACTGCAGGCTGACTTTAAAAGCCCCTAGAAATTAGTTCATAGGTTATCTTTTTTTTTTCTGTTACAAAATGTGCTAAAATTACTCACTTGGTGTCTTATGTGCTGTGTTGTGTGTCAGGAGTGTGGGCCCATCCCCTGAGCTGGTCAGGCAGAGGGAAGCCAAATGGATCAACATCATTGGCCAATGGGACCGCATCTTGTTAAAGAAGAGCAGCAAGGTGTGTCCTGGTGGAGAGACGACAAGCAAATAAACTCTTTTTTAGCTTGTCATAAAATTATAAAAAGAGCAGAATAGCCTTGTTTTTTTTTTTTTCACTGCCACGACAAGCCAAATTGTTTGCTGTTAAATTGGCTTTGTAGGGATTCTTACTGGGTCGTGATGTCTCTGCAGGTCAAGCTGCAGTGCCAGAAAGGAATCCCTGCCTCGCTCCGAGCGAAGTGCTGGCCTCTGCTGTGTGGAGCATCAGAAAGAATGAGACAAAATGAAAACCTCTATGAGGCAAGAGCTATTACGTTTTCACTGGAGTTAATGCTTTCTAGCAAACATTGTTTTGTTTTGGGTTTTCTTTTTTTTTTTGCAAAAAAAAAAAAAAGCTGCATGGTTGTTGCAGGAATATGACTGATATTTCTGGTGAGTAATTTGTGAGAAGCTGAAAATAATTTCCTGATTATTGTGATTTAAAAATGGAAACTTGTTTGTGCTACATGCAACCTTACGTTAGCATAGCATCGCAAAGTTAAGTTAGTTCACTAACTAAATAAAAAAGTGAAATTCACTGACAGAGTTTCACAGTGGTACATTTCAAGGGTCTGTTTTCTGATTATGTTAAAGGTCATCAATTTCAATCAATAACAGAAAACTTGATTTGTAGATGCAACCACTAAAACATGATTTTTATTCTGAAGTGTGCTAAATAAAGATGGAGGAGACTTAACTGTTCAACAGACAGAGTAAGCCAGAAAATGTTATTGTTAAAGAAGGTGGCTCTTTACAGAAGGCTACTTTAAAGCAAATTCATGCTTAAAGTTAAGTGGAAGGAAAAATTCTGCTGGAAAAGGGTGCACAAACAACCAAACAACAAGTATAAGCACAGACTGAGAGGATTGTAAAGTAACTTTAAAGTAAAGTGTGGATGGTGAGTACAAGATCCAAAAAATCAAATTGTTGCTCAAGAGTCCAAATGTCCTTTTTTCAGATTAAGTTCTATTAAGCATCACACTCTGGTGAGATGCTTAATAGATGCTTCTTAATCAGGATCAGGAGGGAAAATGGAGAAGAGCAGAATCCAAATTCCTTAAGGTCCACTGTGACATTTCCCTAATTAGGGAGCTGTAAGAGATAACCATAAAAATAAACATGTGACCCTTAAAATCTATCACTACATATGCAGCAGCTAATGTTTTTTGAACAACAATCAGTGTTTTTACTACATTAGATAAATCAAGTTTGCCGTTTTTTTAACCCTGCGTGACATTGGAATATCAATGACTTGTTATTTCAGTCTCTAGATTCACAGCCAGGCCTGCAGAGCTGGGTGGATATAATCGAGAGGGATCTAGACCGACAGTTCCCCTTCCACGAGATGTTCCTCTCTAAAGACGGACACGGGTGGGTTTGTTTTCTACGCAGTGTTTCTGCCAACAAGCTGTGAGTGGAGAACAGCTTTATGACGCCTTCAGTTACTGCACCTGCAAGATAAATCTTTGCTTCTTCAATTGAAACAGATAAATGTTTCTGATCAGTGAGAACGCTTGAGCTGGCTGCTCTGCATATGCTTTGTGGTTGATTACTGTGGTGTGTGTGTGTGTGTGTGTGTGTGTGTGTGTGCAGGCAGCGGGGGTTGTTCCGGGTGTTGAAAGCCTATACTCAGTTCCAGCCAGAGGAAGGTTACTGCCAGGCGCAGGGGCCGGTGGCTGCGGTGCTGCTGATGAACATGCCTGCTGAGGTTGGACCAAAAACATGTTTCTGTTCTGCAGACTGGGTGCAAGTTCACATCGAGAACAATCACCATGAAAGGGAGAATTGTTTCTGTCAGGGCAGACTTTGAGGTTTTACCTGTACTCACTCATCTCGTTCATATGTCTTTTTAATGGATGTTTCTTTTATTTAAAAACAAGTGAACAGGAATCAAACAACCCGTAGAGGTGTTCATTTGCCTGCTCTATCTTTGCACTCTTGTTTTTAGGGGGAGTATTTGTTTTTACTAGCCAAACCTCTGGTCACCATATCCTGACACTCTTGTTCATGTCTGGCAGGAGGCCTTCTGGTGTTTGGTTCAGATCAGTGAGCAGTATCTTCCTGGATACTACAGCCCTCTGCTGGTGAGTGAACACTTACGGCTTCCTTCACGTTTCACCTTTCCAGATTTAACTTTCAAACAGATGAATGAATGGTGCAAGGAAAGGTGGAGTGATGAATGGAGGGCAGATGCAAAGAAAGAGATAGAAACCTTTTAGAGTACTTTCCTGTACCGTACTGTTCTATAGTTAAGCCTTTTTCCTCTCCTGCATCAGACGTTTCCAGGAGACACACCTGGTCAGCGTTAATGAGGTGTGGCTCTCTAACACACCTGGTGTTTTGTGTAGGAGGGAGTCCTGTTCGACGCAGCCATCCTTTCCTGGGTCTTGAAGAAGACGTGCCCGGCTGCACACAAGCATCTCCAGCAGCACGGCGTGGAGCCACTCATGTTCGCCACCGACTGGTTGATGTGTCTGTTCACACGTCACCTGCCCTTTAACACGCTTCTCCGAGTGTGGGACCTCTTCTTCTGCTACGGTGTGTCTGTGTGTGTGTGTTTTTACACCTAAAACTAAATCAAATTGAGGCAATGTGAGTTTTATGTTGGATGCTGCAGTCGCTGTTGCGCGTCCTTATTGGTGAAGTTGTCCCACCTCTGCCGTCCAGGTGTGAAGGTGCTGCTCCAGGTGGCGGTGGTGCTGGTGCGTCGCGTCCTGGGCCGGGCCGACCAGAGGAAGCAGTGTCCAGGCCAGATGGAGACTCTGGAGAGGCTGAGGGGGGTCAGGGAGCACGTCCAGGAGGAGGAGGAGACTTTCATAGCAGAGGTAACACTGAAAAGAGTTAGCGCTCCTTGTTTGATCATTCCCTGCAGAGGAAATATACATCAGGTCACCCTTTTCGTCTAGAGGAGGGCCATTTGCGGCTCTCGGACAAATTTTTTGTCGTCCTTTGCTGCAATTCAAGAGCTATAAAAATGCGGCCTCCCTGGTTGAATGAGATGAAGTCTTTTTTTTTTTAATTATGGGAAAATGATCACAAATTAAAACCTTTTCATAACAGAAAAGTAATATATTTTTATATTTTTGATTCAGTCTGTATGAATTCTCCACAAAATCTCTCATTTTGTTGAATATTTCTAAATGTATTCTGTAAATTTAACACTTCAAGACTAATTTAATTTTGAGTGTGTGACCTTGAGCCAATCAAAATGTAATTTTATTGTGTGTACGCTTGCAAGTGGATGTCTGAATGACAAAAGCATTTATCTTTACACAGCTGTTCTCCTGTAAGGGCCACATCTTGTGACTTTTGCTGAAACTTGGCTGCACCCAAATCTGAATTCATTGAGTTATTAAAATTGCCTGAATAAAGGAAGAGTTTTCAAACAGAGTGATTTAAATGCTGTTTTTTGCTCAAAATTGGCTCAGTTTACTGTTGAGAAGAAAAAAAAAATTTTGGTCTGTGAGTCCATTTGATTTGACTAGTTTGGCTCATGTGACAAAAAGCTTGCAGAACCATTATGAAAATGTATCAGATCACCCTTCTCTGTAATAAAAAGTTGTCTTTTCAATAAATGACATAATCAGAGACACACTAAAGATTAACCCAACAATAACAACCCATGGGACTTTTATACTATCCTGATTTAAACCCAATTGAAACTCGGTATTTAACTGCAATTAAACCACATTTTGTCCCGCTCTTCTGTCCTGTTGTCACGAGTCAAACCTCCCAGATTCACAGCTGCCTTCTCTCCCCCCTCATTCAGGTTTGTTCAGTGCCACTGTCAGGTAAAGACCTGGAGAAGCGGACGGAGAAGGAGTTGGGAAGGTGGAGGAAAGACAAACCCTCATCTACGTTCGACCCGCGGGGTCGTTGCTATGGGTATCGGATGGCGTGGGCGAGAACCCGCCAGCAGAAGGAAGAACGTGAGCAGAAGGAGAGAGAAACGGGGAATCTGTCTGTTCCTCTCGCCCGCTCTGCCTCCACTCTTTCGCTCTCGCCTGCCCTCCTTCACAAGAGGTTTAGGAAAGGAGGAAAAGGCAATCCTGGCGAGTGGGAAGCCGGCAACAAAGTTTCGAGGCATCTTTCAATGGGAGCAAAGGACGACTGGAGAAACTGGAGTGACGCAGAATACAAGAAAAGCGTCCAAGACGTCAAAGAGGAGGATGTAGTTTCAGATGGGCAGAGAACAGAAAGAGAGACTAAACCAGCAGAAGAAAATAAACCAGAAGAAAACAAAAGTCCGCCAACAGAGAACCAAGAAACGGTAAAAGTAGAAGAACAAACTGAGCCTTCGGAAGCAGGACAATGTGAAAAGGAGGAAAGTAAAGAGACTGGAGAAAGCACAGTCATTTCAGAAAAGACAGAGGAGTCTCAATCTGTTGAAAACAATCCCGAAGCTGCAGAAGAATCCAATGAAAATGAGCAGAAAGAGGAGCCGTGTGACACAAACCAACCACAAGTACTGGAGGAGCAAAGTCAGGAGAGTGAGGCTGTAGACACAAATGAGACTGAGAACCAAAAAGGTCTGCAAACTGTGAGCCAATCCCACATTACTGACGAGCAAAGTAACAAAAACATTGAGGAGAGCGGGGATACAGAAATAAGCAGCGAGGCGGAGAATCCAGAAGAGCTGCAAAATACGAGTCAATCCCACATTCTGGAAGAGCAAAGCAATGAGCCGCAGACCAAGGCGACTGGTACGCACGAAGAGGCAGAAAACGAAAATACAGCCACCGTGGAGGAAAATCACGCAGAGATTCAGAGAGAAAACACAAACGCAGAGTCTCACACAGAGTCATGGGAGGAGCCAGCTGGCACCAAACCACAGGCTGGTACAGAAACTGAAAATCCACAACAGCTGCCGCTGGAC